ACCTGAATACTGGGCACTGACCCTGAGCTAGTTTTGCTCAAGACTAGCACTCTACCACTTTGAGCCACAGCACCATTTCCAGTTTTCTGGTGTTTAATTGGAGATAAGAGTCTCCCTGACTTTCCTGCATGGGCTGGCTTTGAACTGCGGTCTTCAAATCTCATGCTCTTGAGTAGCTAGAATTATAGGCTTGAGCCACCAGCACCCAGCTCTGCAAGGTTTTTAAAGTTTGGTGCAGTGACCAAAAAGTTGGAGGGAAGACTGAAGAGCATTATTATTCAGACAGCATTTTAGGATATAGAGTGATTTGTGGCTCTCTCCTAGAAGTGAAAGAGCATAGAATAAATATTTGGGTTTTCAGCGGTGACCTGATTGCTATGAATCTCAGGACAGCAAGGCAAAGACCTCAGCTGAAGTGATTGCTTAGCTTGCAGGCTGACAGCCTCCCGAGTTATCACATCTGAATTAATTCTAAGCCAGTAGTGCAATATATAATGGCATGTTACATCATCTCATATAATCATATTAAACATGTAACTTCAAAGTATGTTTTAAACAATATGTTTAAAGAAGGTCATAGGTCTTTATTCTTTTATCAGTATAAATTGATTATGAAAAATATGTAATTCAGACTCAATTGCTCACCTTTTCATTTGGGAACTTGAAAAGATTGGAAATAGCCTGATTGATATTTCAATCAGCTTCCTGGACCATTTTCCTCTGTCTTAATTTCCCTGTGAAACAAGGCAGAGGAAACACGAATGTAGAACAAAATAAGGAAAAGAAAGACCAACCACTCAAGATGGCCACTAATATGAGGCTGAGCAGCATCTTTGTTTCCCCCTCTGAAAGCCTCAATGTTAAATTTCCACATGTGCCAGCTGTTCCCCAGTTTATAATTCCCAACAAAGCCTTTGCTGGCTGGGTTTGCTCTCCTAAGGAAAATGAAAATAGCACTTATCTCTTTAGGATTTAATTCTAATCAGACCAGGCTGTTGTGTTGTTGAATTCTACAGGGTTTCCACAGATCAAATATTGTAGTGTCATTTATACTTCCTTCTGTCTGGATATCATAATTTCTAAGCCTGGCATTGCCATCTGGAAACCAGAATCAATTGCAAAGTGAAGAGTCCAACAACTCAGCTTTAATAAATTTCACAAGTACTGTTCATTGATTTTTATTACTCCTACCTTAGGATTTTTATGTTCACAATTCCCCTTGCCAAGGGACACTGTGTTCCTGGATCTCTCCTAGCTGGCTCCTTAGGCTGTTCAGGTCTCCATCCAGAGGTCATTTACTCAGAGAGGCCTCCTTGGCATGAAACCTAATGCAGCCCCTTGCCCATATTATTGCCTGCCCATGTTTTATTTTCTTTAAAGCCCTATCGCTGTCTGTACTTACCTTGTCCTATTATCATGATCATTTTCAGGATCAGCATTATTAGTCCTTGTACTAAAGAGTAAGCATATTTCTGAGTTTTTCTCATATGCCTTACATGATATAAAAATTTAACAGTCACAGCTAAAATTGAGTGCTGTTTCCTACTCATCAAACACTAGGCTAAGTAAGCATGTTAGCTGACTAGTCCAGGTCAGGATCATCTCTCGCTAGGGTTACTGCAGTGGCCTCCCAACTTGCCTTCCTTTTCCCACTGTAGTCTTCTTACACTGTTGTCTGCATAGCAGCTAGTGCTTTTTCTAAAACATAAATTGGGTTGTATCCTCATCAGCTTTCTGTATCACTTTCTTTTTTCCAGCCATACTCAAGTTTTGTACAAGATGCTCAGTGGCCTGCCCCATCCCAACCTCTTGGCCAAATATCTAGCTATTCCCACCACATGCTTCCCTCCAGCCCTGGGGTCTGAGTCACACTTCCCCCAGACAGCCGTCCACCCACAAGACTTTATTTCATACTCACTCAAGTCTGTCCTGAAATATTGTCTCTGTTCATTCATCCAATACTTATTGAACTTTGGCTAAATATAGGCCTTATTGTAACACTGACTATACAGAAGTCAAGATGGACAGAGGCCCTGTTGAACAGGAAGTTATTATGGAGAAACATAACAAATGCAATAGGTAGAATATGGAATTGGGACAAACCCAAATGGGATAAAAAGCTAGGGAGCTATGGGAGGGGAGGAGAAATTGAGTTTAAAATAGAGCAGTTTTTGTTTTCTTTTCTTTTTGTCTTGTTTGTAAGAGGAAGCACAGAAATGGAGGGACAAAGTGTAAACAAATTCAACAATTATACTCACTAGACACTATGTTGAAAATGAACTATACAACTTGTGGGTGGAATACAAGGGGAAAACTGGGAGAGTGAGGGAAGGGTAACATTGTCCAAAAGGAAATGTACTCTCTGCCTGACTTATGTAACCATAACCCTTCTATTTTTAGCATTTTTCAAATAAAAATAAAAATAATAAAGCAGTCAGGAGAGGCTTTGGAGAAGGACAGTTGTTCCAGTCCTGAAGATGAGAGAGAGGCGGCTGTGAGGAAGTAAAGGGAAGCAAGTTTTGGATGGCGGGAGCATTCTGTGTAAAAGCTCTGAAGGAAGGATCTGCAGCAGCAAAGATGAGCAATGAGGGCAGAGGGAGTTGTGGCTAGAGAAGGGACAGGGTCTCCATGGCGGGGCCATGGAGCCTTCGCCATCATTCTGCTTCTTTTAGCCTGTGGGACTAACAGAAGCACAACCTAAGCTGACTTATATAAAATTGGATCTGTCTGATTCTTGGGTGGAAACAGCCTTTGGGTGAATGGAGAGAGAGTCCTGTTAGCTCAGGGAAGATTGTGATGCCTAAACCAGTGTGACAGAGATAGATGTGACAAGAATGGTCACACAGTGGATGTCTTTTGAAGTAGATCCTAAATGTTTGCTAAGAAATTGAGATGCAAAGCAATCTGGAATGCCTTATTCCTAGGCTTTTAAATCCAGTCTACCAGAAACATATAGATGCTAGCTAGTACTGAGACTAGAGGAATGGGGTAGGGGTGGAAAGATTGAGAGTTCAATCTCAGTCCTCATTTTTGCCCCTCAATAGGGCATCTTAATGTATACATTTTAGTCAGGAGCTTTGGTTTGGACATATATTTGCATCCATGAGATACCAGCTGGGTTGCTTTGTACGGTTTGGAATTTGGTAGTTGCAGAGAGAACTGTGGGTAAACAGGCCATGTTGTGGAGCCTTCCTGCCTATTTTATCTTTACCTTTGCTTATATATGTATCTTGCATGCATATGCATTGTTCATTTGTTCACTGCCAGGTAAGGGGAAAAGTACCACATCCATATCTGTTCTATAATCAGTTGTGTTTCTAAACCTTGCAGAGTAGCTGGTGCCTGGGCACTTAATAAACTTGGTTGAATGGAGTATTACTGCTTCTCTATTCTGCAGCTTCATGAAGTCCACTGCATGGCAAATCTATATGTTAATTTATATGTCAGATGTTTTTATTCCTACTGAGGCCCAAGAAGAGTTGTTAAAACAAAACTCTGTTTTTATACATGGATACTATTCTCTTTTGTTATCTTTAAGTTATTATACAAAGGACTTCCCATTTAACAAAGCAGTTTATGAATATGTCTTGATCAGTGTCACCCCTTTCAGCATTCTCATTCATCACTCTCCTGTCCACCTCTTCCTTCATTCTTAATTTTGTAGGACAGATATTGAATTCTTGACTGTATTCTCCCCTCTTCTCCTCTTCATTTGTTTACCCTTTCCACTTGACCTCAACCCCACCCCTTTCGAGTACCCATTTCATGATGTTTTATTTTACTGAATTTTGACTTTGCATTTCTAATGAATTATACTATTTGAGTTTTCCCTTGAATCTACCAAATTTCAGTTAATACATTTGTATATACTTAGCTTCCACATATGAGCAAAAATATAGATCCTTCGTCTCTCTGGGTCTGACTTACTTCACTTAACAGGTCTTCCCATTTCTTTACAAGTGGTACAATATCATTCTCTTTACCATTTGCTATATGATTACTGAAAAGGAGATTTAAGTTCAAAATGACTTTTCATTTATCAAGATTGCCTTGCAGCTAAAACGTACCAGCACAGTGCAAAAGAATAAAGAAAAATAAACTCTGGCCAATTCTTAAGGGGACTATTACCATTTCTCTTTTGTAGTAAGTCTTGCTTATTGGTAAAGGTTCACTTTAACTTTTTCTTTGCTGATGCATCAGCAAGAGTTCTATCTAATGAGATAGTGACTTTATTCAGTATTCTGTTGCATTTAGATACAAGAGCAGGAAAGACAGAGACCTATGGCCTCAGCACTTTAATTTGAAATGGTCAGTAATGACTTTGCAAACTGGATTGTATATCAGTTAGCTATTGTGCATAACAACAGAGCACTCCACAATTTAGTGCCTTAAATGATAAGCATTTATTATTGTCCACAAAACTATGGTGGTTCTGTTCTCCCGAGGCAGGATAGAAGCTCCACTCACTTGGCTGGATTCTCTCTCTATGATGATCAGGTGGCTGAGACTAGGCTCCTCTGGCCCTGGCTGGGACACCAGGTTCTTGTCCTGGCTAGAACAGGCGAGGACACATGTCAGTGTCAGGATCTAAGGAACAAAACTGGGAATACCAAAGCATCGTAAGGCCATGGTCTGAAACGGGCAAGTAATAGAGCAGTAGACTCCACTCCTGTTGGAGATGCTGCAAAGACACATTGTGTATAGTGTGGGGGTGAAGCTGAAAAGTTAAATAGAGGAACTGGCACAAATCTTTAATCACTATCTCCCATCCCACTTCCTGAATAGCTAAGAAACATGTGAAGCCTGAGCTATGCTATTGGCTTGTGGGTTTTTAACACTTTACCAGAAAAGGTAATCTCATTGAAAATACATTTACCAGAAGTTTTCATGAAATACCTGCCCTAAATTGTTTTGCACAATGCCTGGCATAACCATCATTTTTCTGCATAGTTACCTTGATCTTATTGCCCCCAAATAATGATTGTACCTTTTCCTTCTAGGATTATGCCCATATGTTGACTTGTATAACTGAAAGAGAGAAGTTTATTGTACCCATCAAAGCTAGAGGTGCAAGAGCCATCCTGGATTTTCCTGATGATCTGAATTTTTCCACTTGCCCTGTCAAATACAGCACTCAGAAGATTCTGCTGGTGCGAAACATTGGCAACAAAGATGCAGTGTTTCATATCAGAACGTGCAGGTATGGAAACAGTCCTTTGACTCCCATCTTTGATGGACTATGGTTAAAGCTAGCCAGCACAAGTAATTTGGGAGAACAGCATTCTGGGTGGGAGAGCCTTGTTACAATCTTCCGCTGCAAAGTTGGGACACCTTACTAATGGAGTAATGAAGACTCCTTCTATGTCCTCAGAAGAAACTAAAACTCCAAGTTTACTATCTTACGTTTCTTTCTTTCTAAAGCATCTTATCATCTTCGGCGTTTTTGAAATGCTGGATAAACTTTTAGTATAGAAAATGGCCCACTGGGCATTTACAAATTAATATATTACTTATTTCAAATAAGACTGTTGACATGGCAGTGGTCCTTTTTGGAGGCCTGTGGAGATAATTCATTCCTTTGCCTTTTCCAGCTTCTTTGAGCTTATGGCCCTCAACTTTTTCACCTGAAAAATAGGAAAGGGGTAGTCAGCACTTCACAGGGTTATTATGAGGAAAAAATGTAAATAAACATACTGCTGTACATAGCAACCACTGTATAAATGTCTGCCCTATTGTTTTTTTTAAATTCAAACAAGCTACTGCCAGTGTGGTAGGTGGAATAATAGCTCTCCAAATATGTCCATGTCCTAATTCCAAGAATTTGAGAATATTACATGGCAAAAAATCAACTGGGGAGGTGGGGAGAAAAGGATGGTAGGGGAAAAACAAAGGAGGAGGTAATAATGCTCAATAGGAAATGTATTCATTACCCTACTCATGTAAGTGTAACCCATCTGTACAGTATTTTTACAATAAAAATATATATGGGAAAAAAATCAGCTGACCCTAAAATGGGAAAATCATCCTGGATTCTTTGCATGGGCCCAATATAATCACAAAGGTTCTAGAAAATAGAACAGGAAAGCGGAGTTTAGAGTGATAGGATGTGAAAAATCTCAGCCTGCTATTGCTGGCCATGAAGAGGAGACAAGTGTGGGATGAAGAGGTCATATCAGGAGCCCTGGAGCTAGTAAGTGTTGTTGATTTTAATCTGAGTAGTTATGTAGTCCCTGTAGTGTAGGCACCATGGGGAAAAAGTTCTTTTGGAAATCAGTCTCTTGGCATTGTTCATGGCACTTGTACAACCTTTGTGATCTCTGGCAAGCCTCACATCTTGATTGAGGAGTGGGAAGCCTGTTGTTCAGCTGGCTCACAATATCTTAGAAAGAACCTATTTTAAAAATTAAAATAAAAGTTCTCTCACAACCACCACTATCCATAATTAGATTAAAAACTTCCTGTTACCTGACAATGTTTATATGAAAAAGAGGATTTACTTTCAAACGCAGGCAGCATATCTTCCCAGACAATTTGGCTTAACTATATACAAGTATCAATTGCTTACGTATTAGATTCAGGTAAATGCAAGGTAGTTCTGACGTTGTAGAAAAATATGTGACTTTTTTCTATCCATATGACTATGTGAATCATCCTAGCACTGAAATAATTCTAAGGTAAAATGGACAGCCAACTCAAAACTAGCTAGGAGTCACAAAGACAATGTAGCATTCCCACTTTACAGATGAAGTAAGGTATGAATAGGGAAATGACTTATCTAAGATCTCCCAATAAATTAATATCCAAGCCTTGATTGAAAAAAAAAAAAGCTGGGCCAGTTCTGGGCTTGTTTGCAATCAGATCCATTTTCAGAGTTCCCCTGCTTGGCTGGATATCACTGAGGGACTGTGTTATCCTTCCTGGCCTCCTCTGTCAGTTGAATTCCAGCTGTGATGGGTGGAGATGTTAGAGGGGATAGAATAAATGTAGAGGTCATGGTATTTCTTCTTCCTGTCCATAGTCAAATCCCCAGCAGCAGCTGCATCTCTTCTCTGGTTCTAGCAACTGTTGGCCTGGCATGCCCTGGTTCCAACTTCTACAATGTAATCCAGGTCCCCAGGATCTGATAACACTTGTTCCTTTCCTTAGAGGTGATTAACTGCTGCTAATTCCAGAGTGATCTTGCTATCTTAAGTTGGGTTTCCCATCTCTCCCATCTTCTAGATAATCAAGTCTCTCAAGTATTTTTGTTTTTCTGTTTAGAGTCTTCATTAAATAGATGTTTTCTGCTACTTCCACAAAATATTTTTTCCCCAATCATGTTGACAGTTCTGTGAGCTGGCCCAAATCCTCCCAATCAATCCCTTTCTTGAATTAGACACAGTTGGATTCTTTTGTTTGCCATTAAGAACCCTGAGGATGATAGTAGAAAGGATGTGGTTGGATTTGTGGGCACATCATCTATGGAGAGAGCCCATTAAAAATTCTCCATTCTAAAAATTGTACACATGATGCTGTTTTTCAGGGAAGGTTAACATGATTGCTAATAGAGCAGAATAGTGACTATAGGAATTTAGACTCAAAAGCTCAGCTCTACTCTTGGTTCTGTCACTCTTGGGTTCAGTGTATAGCTAAAAATAATATCTCAGGGTTAGGGACATGGTTTAAGTGATAGAGCACCAGCCAGTGATCAGATAGAGTTTGAGTCCTGGTCTGGGACAAAAAAAAGAAAAAAAGATCTCACAGAAAATTATTTTTTAAACAGATCATATTTTCCCTCATTGAAATGATGATTTAATGAATAGTTAACATTTATAAAATGGTTCAGTTTATATAGATTATAAAAATGAAAATGATGCCCTCATTAGAATATGAGGAACTGAAATGCAAGGACTGTATCTAACTCTTTTCATTTGCATGTCCCAGCATTGAGCAACTGTCTAGGATAAAAAAGTGTCCAATAAATGTTTATAGGCTGCCTAACCAATAATATATCACAAAGGCAAAGCTGCAACTATAAACCTTTACAATAATTTAAAATAAAAATACATGCTCCAAGTACTATAAAATGGGCGTAATGTTTTTTACACTAATAAAAGGAGCTGCAATGTTTTATAAAATATATAGGCATAAACAATTACCATTCAACTTTATTACAAATTTGACCTAAAACTCCAGGAGGTCCCAGAATAACTTTCACTATTAAAGTAGAATTCATATTGGAAAAGGAAAAAATAGAAGATTAAGAAGCAATTTTAAAACCTCAAGTTAGGAATAAAAGAAGAAAAGCTATCTGAATCAAAATACAGATACTGTAGGACCAATATTTAGGAGCCCGCTAAACATGAAATCCCTTAAGTGGAATAGTTTTAATTCTTAAGCATAGCTCATGCAGAAAACAAAATTCAAGACTTCTTGTGGCTCATGACTTTTCACAGACCGAGTTTCCTCTATAATCAAGTATTTGGTATTAATGAGTGTGTGATATCAATTCCAAATAGGTTGGTAGGCAGAGCAATCCATATGCCCTTGAGGAACCATACTTTTCACTCCTTCATAAGAGCATTTTCTGATACTTGATATTTTCTAGCCTGTTCAGCCTGTTTGCCTTTAGTAAAATGAAGTGCAAAATCAAATTACAGACAATGTTTAAGCACGGGGACTTAACATACTCTATCCAATTAACAACTGATTTATTGTGAAAGCTTAGGAAGCTCTCTAAGAGGTACTGGTGATCCCAGGTGATTTCCTAACTACTGAAGAAGTTCAGTGTAATCTAAACCTAACAATTAGCACAAAAGGAATGTATCCATTACCACTTCACAGAATTTGGATTCCTCCAGGTCGTAGAGATGTGACAGTAGTGTCACATATGTGACACATCTCTGTAAAATATTAGCTTAGGTTCTGCAATGTAATAATATCTTATTCATTTCAAAACTGTTCTTTGGCTACTGAGAAATATTTGAAAAGAATATGAAAGCATAATGCAGGAAGAAAAATGTTAGAAAGTGGAAAAGAAAATATGGGAGATGTTGCTGTGTTGATTTCAAAGCCAGAAAACTGGTCTCCTTTCTCAACTTTTCAGATTTTACTGAGATAGCAGAAAGGAAACAATTTCTTTCTCCTATGAAGGAAACCACATTGTTTCATTTCCCATTAAGGAAAGATTGTGTGTGTGTGTGTGTGTGTGTGTGTGTGTGTGTGTGTGTGTGTGTGTGTGTGTGTGTGTGTGTGTGTGTGTGTGTGTGTGTGTGTGTACTTGAACTTAGGGCTTGATGTTGTCCCTTAGCTTTTTTTGCTCAAGGCTAGCATTCTACCACTTGAGTCACAGCTTCTTACTGATTTTTTAGAGATAAGAGTCTCATGAATTTTCCTGCCTCGACTTACCCAAACACCCAAACTCAACCTCAGCTTCATCTTCCAGCCCCTCTGGGCAATCAGTGAGGGAGATGAAAGCAGCAATGACAAAAACTTGCCAGGTGTAAATTATAAGCACTTTATTTATATGAACTTCTATAGTCTACACTATAACCCCATGAAGTAGGTGCTCTTCTTCTTCTTCTTTTATTGTTTAAGAAGCCATATTAAACGACTTGCCCAAAGTCATGGTATGGTTGGACTTTAAACTCATTCAGTTGGCTCCAGATACTGGGATAGTAACCACCACCCCTTGGTGCCCTTACCACAATGTTGGGGCTCACTGGATGATTGGTACTGGGGGTACCAAGAAAGGACAGAGAAAGGAAGGGTCAAATGAAGAAGTGAAAGGCAAGGAGATCAATGTAGATTAGACTGCACCAGAAAATAAACATGCCCATCATTGGTAAGAGGCCCCTGCAGTAATAATCTCAGGCACTACCCGGTGCTGCCCTTTCTCATCAGTTCTGTACCCACATTGCAGAAAGCTTGGGTTTTCTGAAATTGAGTTCATTATCTAAGGGAAGATTTATGGAAGATGACTCTCAAAACTGTTGTGATAGAAGTAAATAATCAGAAACAGCTTAGCCTGCCAGATACATTGTATAACACATTACTTTGAAAAACTAGCAATTTAAAGGAGTGAAATGGACCATGAAAATAATTAAACAAGCTGAGTTTCCTATTTGGAAGGAAGAACTCTGGAAAGTATTTAAGATACTTCATGATCAGATTCAGTTCCTCTCTAGACCTTACCTTCCAGGACAATTAAGTAAAGCTATTTCCTTTTCCTAAACCCACCCTCACTCCTTACAATAGCTTTAACCACTAAGTCTCTTATCAACACACAGAGCTGGTCCTGTTTGGCTTTCTAAATGCACTCTCTGGTTTTCTCCAGACTGTTGTCATCAGGCCTCAGCACCTTCTGGCTTCTGGTTGGGTTTCAGCTTCTGGGAGTCCCAGAAAGCAAGGAGGTACAAAGGGGAGGGGGGGAAGGGATCTCTCCTTTGAATGCTCACAAAACTTGATTTTTATCCCTTGTAAATGAGTTTTTGCATACATATTTCAATATGTCCCTTACCAAAATCTCAGTATCTGGAGGCCAAGGACTGAATTTTATGCATTTGTAATCACCCTAACTCTCTATCTGAACCTAGCAGGAAAGGCTCAATGAATGTTAGAAAATGGCAGCCAAAGACACAAACAGGAATCCACATCATCTAAGTTGCTGTTGTTGGTCTCTTAGCTGTTATTTTAATATTAAATCTAAAATTCTTTCCCATTAGGGAAGAAAGAATACTTCACTTCTAGAACATGAGGCTATAGTGTGGGGTATGAGTTGTCTACAGAACTAGTGTCTCCTTTTCCTCCTCCTCCAACTCCTCCTCTTCCTCTTCCTCTCACATTAATAAGAACTGTGCTTTGATGGTATGTCTTCCTGTTCGTTGCAGGCCTTTCTCTGTGGAGCCAGTGGATGGAACTCTTAATGTGGGGGAGTCCATGCAACTGGAAGTCAACTTTGAGCCACAGAATGTGGGTAATCACGACCAAAAACTTATAATCAATTATGACACAGGTATGCATTATTCTTTAAAGTGCTGCATAGTAAGAAAGGTTATGAGGAAAAGGTTATGAGGAATTTTGGCTGCATGAGCATACACTGAGTTCTACAAGGTAAAGAACTCAAGATGAAGGCCTCCACCAAAAATGAGATTGAGCCAGATAAAAATCCCAGGTCCCTAGCTTCCTCAAGACCTGAAAGCTTGAAGAATTCAAGCCTCAGAAAGAACCTATGCCCATGAATCTCACTGGAAGATTGAGGCTATTTATATATAAATGAAAATTTGAAGGTAATGAATACGCTATGGTTTTCCATTTGACTTACTGCTCTGTGTGTGTGTGTGTGTGTGTGTGTGTGTGTGTGTGTGTGTGTGTGTGTGTGTGTTCGCGCGCGCCTGTGCACGTGCTACTTTGAACTTAAGGCTTTGCCCTTGCCACACAGATGCTCTACTACTAGAGCTGTATTGCCCTGAGCTCTCTTTTCTTTCTTTCCTTTTTCCCCAGAGCAGAGAGCAAATGATGAGACTTGTCAGCCATATGATCAAGTTGCTTGTTAACCCCCTGGCATATATAACATCATATACTTTGTTAGAAATGCAAAAGAATGAATACCTTGTGGCCCTTATTGAATGACTTACAAGGATGCTATGAAGGTGAACACAAAGTTGGAATAGTGCATTGGATAAAATTTAAATCTTCCAATATTTTAACAACAACAAGAAAGGCACCAGGGGAAGACTAATAGAAGTTCTTGGGCAGGGAAGGAGTAAAATAACATGTAGTCACAGTTCCAAGACATACGTCTTAACAGACAGAGCATTGTTGTACGGGCCTTACATTCTGGGATCAAGTGGTCCTGGCTCCACATTGTCACCATAACAACACCCAGTCATTGGGATAATCTTTCCTACTGGTGTCAGCTCAGAACCACTGACTAAGGGAAGCCTAATTCCAACTAGTGTAAACAAGAGGAAACTTTTGACCCACGTAAACAAAGCACAGCTCATAATACATGGGGATGTCAGTTTTCTAAGAAATCGGCACTATTTTGTACTAGCAACAGTGTAAGAGTTTCATTTGCTTTGCTTTCTTGCTTGAATATTGTGTTGTTTGATTGATCTTAGATATACTAGAGCTGTAAAGCCATTTTTAAATTTTTATTTCTTTAATGATAAATCATGTTGAGCATTTTTCATGTGCTTTCTAGCCATTACTATTTCTACTCTTAAATCTGATGAGTCTCTTTCTCCCTTTTTTGTCTTTATTAATTTGTAAGTCTCTGTATTTGGACATTCTAAATACCAGTCATTTGTTAGGTAGATATATTATTAATTCTATCTCTCAGCCTATATCTTGCCATTTCATTTCCTTAATTATGTTTCTTGATGAGAACTAATTTTTAATTTTGATAAAATACATAAGCAAAAAAAAAATAAAAAAAATAAAAAAATAAAATACATATTCTCATTTTTTTCCTGGTTCTGGGTTTTGAACTCAGGGCCTGGGCACTGTCCCTGAGCCTCTTTGTGCTCTCTACCACTTGAGCTACAGAGCCACTTCTGACTTTTTCTGAGTAGTATATTGTAGATAAATGTCCCAAAGACTTATCTACTTTGAACCTCGATCCTCAAATCTGGGCCTCCTGAATAGCTACGATTAAAAGCATGAGCCACCGGCACCCAGCCCATGTTCTCAGATTTTAAAGATTGTTTTATCTCCTTGCTAAGTAGTAAGCATCTCTGTCTCTGTCATCTCTCTGTCTCTGTCTCACTGTCTGTCTCTGTCTCTATCACTCTGTCTTTCTCTTTTTTCATATGAGCTATTAGCTCTTTCCCAGTCTCATTATTTTGTTCTGGGATACTAGTTAGAGTTTACTTCAGTTGGATGTTTGCTGCCGGTTTTTAGGGGATTCTTTATCAGATTAAAAAGTTTCCGTTACTCCCTAGGTTCTATCACTTTGAATCTTGGATAAATGTTGAATTTTATCAAATATTTTTCTGCATTTATTGACATCCTATGTGGTTTCACTTTTATTCTTCCAAACTGGTGATTGATTTTGAAATGCTAAATCTCTGCTATATTATGGGATATACTCAAGTTTTAAATATTAGCATTTTAATAAATTGCTGAATTAGATGTGCTAACATTTTGATTGTAAGCTTAGTACTCAAATTCATGAGAAAAATTTGCCTATAATTTCCTTATTAAGTAAAGGTCTTTATCAGATTTTGGTCTGGCAAAGCAAATTCGATATAGAAAGATACCAATTCTATAAGTGGCAATTTAGACCATTTTTGTTAATAATCATGTCGTATAACCTCTATTAATTTTCTGTCTCCTTTTTTTACCAGATGTTAGAAGATATCACTCACATTCACAACTGTGCATATTGATTTGCTGTTTCTCTTTTGTGCTATCAATTTTCATTTATATATTTTGATACTATGGTCATCAATATATACGTATATATGGCTAACATAACTTCTTGTTACCATGGTATCATTATGACACATCTCTTTAACTAAAAACTATTAGCATACATAAAGTATCTCTTAATCTTTGCTAAGATTTTTGACATTAAAGTCTACTTGATCTGACATTTATGTAGTATAGAGCTGTCTTTTGATTAGTGTGGACATTGTATATTCCATTCATCTTTTTTTTCATTCAGGCTTTCTCTGTCTTCATTTAAAGTTTGACATTTGGAAGTGCACCAAGTGGTTATTTTTAAAAAATCTGTTCTGAAAATCTTTCTTTTGATTGGACTCTTCAGTCTTTTTATGTTGAATGAGACTATTGACATATTTGGGCTTGACATTCTGACTACTAAGTAGTTATAACCATTAGAGCCAATAAAAAAATTCCTACTTGAATTTTTAACTAACACTTCTTTGTTATTAGTGTTAATAGTAGATGAAGTTGAAAATATATGAGTGCTAATAAATGTAGTGGTATATTCCTCCCACTTGGATCTCCATACCTCTGTAAGGTATCATTTTATGCAGTCCTTAAAACTAAGAATCAGAAAAAAAATGTAACTTTAGATTTACCTGTGCACTAACTGTCTCATGACAGTAACCAGGCACATAACCAGGGAATCAAAAAATAAAAACAATAATTAACCCTTTTACTCTCTTTAAAATATTTAACCATTGATAAATATGTTAAATAAATTGCCTTTAATAAATAATAAATAAAATGAGATATTGCATATCTCATATCCTTTTAAGTGTTTATAATGTATTTTAACATAGTTGCTATCTAAACACTATTAGTATATATAACTTATAAATAAATAAGTTCATATGTTGGTTTATAACTTTTTTGTCAGTCCTGGGGCTTGAACTCTGGGCCTGGGGCACTATCCCTGAACTCTTCAGCTCAGGGTGAGTGCTCTACCTCTTGAGCCACAGCACCACTTCTGGTTTTCTGGTTGTTAATTGGAGATAAGAGTCTAATGGACATTCCTGCTTGGGCTGGCTTTGAACCGTGACCCTCAGATCTTAGCCTCCTCAGTAACTAGGATTATAGGCATGAGCCACTGGTGCCCAGCAGGATATAATTTTTAAAGACATCACTTGCATAGGTTTTGAGAATTGGCTTAGCATGATCTAAGAACAATAGAATCCAAACTTGAAAGATCCAGACCTTAGATTTCACAGAGGAAAAACTGAAGTCCTAAGCCAAATACTTGCCCAAAGTCCAACTCTCAATTAGAAGTCACTCTTGGACTCTTAACTCCTGAGCATTGATTGCTCCATATACCACTGCCAATGTGTTCCTGGTCTCTCATTACAACATGTACCTCTTACTCCCTTAACTCATTGGCTTTAACATGTACTATATTCTCCCAGAGGCTCTAGATTTTGCTTTTATGTAAATCTTTGGAATGGTACCCAAAGTTATTTACAGTCCTATGCTCAAGGAAAGGCAGGCTGCATCATAAGGAATATTTGTATGTTAAAATTTAAAATTTAATTTACTGGTGGAAAAGGTGGCTTCCATACTGGTGATTCTTATGTTGATGTTAGTGAGTGAATAAAGCCATTTCTGAAGATTGCAGACAGAAGGGAGATGGCTTAGAGTAGTTCTCCTTGCATGAAATGAACTGCCCATAAGGATATGTTTTCATCCATATTGTGAGTTATCTATCAGTGTTCAGAATCTATAACCTTCCATCAGTGAAGAACAATAATGACTGTTTGGACACAATTAATCATGGAGCTTTGACAGGCAGCCATGATCACTGTCTTCCTATTTCACCAAATAAGCAGCTGATAGAACTTTCTGCAGCTGTTCAAAGTATGAATTGATTTGAAGGGGGAATTAAATATGAGATATTGATGAATGTCTTTTCTTCATTCTTCCTCAGACAGTGTTCTAGAAGGAAGAGCCATAACACTCCTTAGCAGGAATTACTTAATTAGACTTCTCACAGTTGAATTTATTTCTTCCATCAGCTTTTGGCTCTACCAGATATATTCTTGATAAAGTGCAGCAAGGAGATTTCTTTGCTTATTATGATTTGAACCAGTGTCCTAGTACTTAAGATATTTCAGTCAACTGTAATGCTTTACTGCTATCTAATATTTTGTTCATTCCTGAGCCAGAATTCTCCTTTCCCTCCCCTGTAAGTGTCTAGCTATAGTAAAACCAAGTTTGTTTAGGCAGCCAATTTTATTTTTAGAAATGACTCTGTGTGTGTGTGTGTGTGTGTGTGTGTGTGTATGTGTGTACATATGAACACATGTGCATGTGCCAGTACTGGGGCTTTGAACTTAAGGCCTGGGTAATGTCCCGTACTTTTTTTCACTCAGGGCTCATTCTCTGTCACTTGAGCTCCACTTCTACCTTTTCACTGGTTAATTGGAAATAAGAGTTTCACAGACTTTCCTGTCTGAGCTGGTTTCCAATCATGATCCTCAGATCTCATCCTCCTAAATAGCTAGGATTTTAGGAATGAGGTACCAACGCCCCAGCAGTTATTTTTTAATTGTTGTAAAAAATGGAGAAGAA